GTGGGTGCGTGCGTGCGTGCGTGCGTGCGTGCGTGCGTGCGTGCGTGCGTGCGTGCGTGCGTGCGTGCGTGCGTGCGTGCGTGCGTGCGTGCGTGCGTGCGTGCGTGGGTGCGGTGGGTGCGGTGCGGGGGTGTGGGTGGGTGTGTGTGTGTGTGTGTGTGTGTGTGTGTGTGTGTGTGTGTGTGTGTGTGTGTGTGTGTGTGTGCGTGTGCGTGTGCGTGTGTGTGTGTGTGTGTAAGCATCACTACAAAAGGCAAGATCTGTGTGTTTGTTTCACCAGGGTGCCTGAGTTAGTGAGTTAGCTAGCTAGGTAGCTTCTTCCTTTGTTCTCGATTGTGGCGCTGTTGCTGTTGCTGTTGCTGTTGCTGTTTTTGGGTGTTGTTGTTCAGAGTACCATCGAGACGCCGTCGCAGCACAGAAGCACCATCCAAGCATGCCCAAAGAAAGCGAAACAAGCTCGCGCGGACAGGGCGGGAATCGAGCCCGGGACCTTTCGCCGGAAACCCGTACCGCCGGACCACGAGACAAAACCCCCCGCGGTCCCCGGAGCCGCCAAAAAAGCAAAAAATCGAGTTTGTGCCGACCACGAGACCTCCCCGGAGCCGCCAAAAAAGCAAAAAATCGAGTTTGTGCGAGCCTGCGCAGTCGAAACGCATTTCAACATCAAGCAAAAGCACGAATCTGCGGAAAATACCACGCAAAACGCTCGCGGACAGAAGTCGCCAACTCACTTTGTGCGAGCCTGCGCAGTCGAAACGCACTTCGACATCAAGCAAGAGCACGAATCTGCGGTAAATACCACGCAAAACGCTCGCGGACAGAAGTCGCCAACTCACTTTGTGCGAGCCTGCGCAGTCGAAACGCACTTCGACATCAAGCAAGAGCACGAATCTGCGGTAAATACCACGCAAAACGCTCGCGGACAGAGCGGGCACCTCAATCTGGCACCAAGGCCTTTTCTCTTACCGTAAGAACCCCTTAGTGTAGACACACTGTTTGGGGAAAAACAAAGTTCAAATAAAAGAGAAAAATATATTGACATCATACGGGTGTATATATATATATATATAGATGGTCAATGCAAATATAAAAATATATACACATATACAACACATATACACATGTCTATTGTTCACAATCAAATGGCAGGGGAACCCTTCCAAATGGAACCTGACTTCTTCGGTTGAGGGTACCTTTTTGGGGGTTGGTGAAAACAAAAAGGAAAACCACCGTTTTAGGGATACCCTTGAAAGAAGACACCCAAATGTTAACTAGCAGGGGAGCGGGGGGGGGACTGCGTTGTTCTGCCCGCCAAAAAAGCGTGGCAGGACCGCAAGCGGTTGCCCAGAGTTTCTTTCAATCCCACTGGAATGATCCAGACCCAAAATGTGGGCGAAAGTCCCCCACCTGGCTACGTCGTGTTAATCAAACCCAAAAGCAGGCGAGTTCAACGCCGCACCCTTGGCCTCAGACGCAAGGCGCCGCGTAGGGAAACCACCAAAAAAACGGGAAGGGAACAGTCACAGAATGGACGCGTATCGCCTTGACATCCTCGCGGTTCGGCAGCCCGAGGTGCTCCTTGGGGGTGACGTAGCACAGCATGGCCGTCCTACCACGAGTTTTTTTCTTGGGGGGGGAGGGCATTTTTCTTTCGTGGGGGTTTGTGGGGGGCGGGGGTGAAACCAAATTTTTTGTGGGAATGAACCGGTTGGGATAGTGCGCGTGTTGGGATTTTGGGGAAACGGGGATATGTGATGTGGGGATATGGGGTTGGCCAACGAAAAATGTTTTTGTTGGCCCCGGCTAAAAGGTTCAGATTTTGAGGCGGCCTGCTGCAAAAAAGCTTCTCGGTGTCTATGGGTGAAAACCCCAAACAGGTCATGGCGGTTTGCGGGAAGGTATGGAAGTAGACAGGAGGGAGGCCCACAAAAAGAAAGTCGTCTTCCAATACCCTCCAATCAGCTTTCATGATTGGAGTAGAATTTGGACCGCAAGACGGGCCAGTGGCTTCGCATTGTTTCCCTTCATCCAAAAGGGGCTCACCCCAAACCAAAAAGGCGAACAACACCCGGGGGCAAACCAAAAAAGAAACCAAGGAAGAAGCTCGCAACATGCCCCGCCACGAAGTCGCTCGAGCACCGTGTTGCTGCGAGCGGGCAAACCGAGTTGGCTGCACCATTTGGCGATCTCTGAGCAGTGGATGGCTTGGCGCCAGGGGCGTGAGACAGCACCAGGCACGGCGACAGTGTCACCATGCCGCATTTCTGGCAAAGAGGCAGAGGCCATTGGCCCAAGTTGTAGCCTTGTTGAAGCCCACATCTGCAAGATGGTACGGGGCCAGTACCCACTTGTTGTCATCGACAAGCGGGAAAATGGGCCAGACCCTTTCAGCCCCTGCCCAACGCCTGCCCAAGCAAACACAGTACAACAGGAACAGGGAGAACGTTGGCCTGCCATCGTGTGGTTTAAATTGAGCGGCGTTCCCGTGCAGCACACAGTGTGCCAAAGAAACTGGGAAGAGTGTGCGAATTTTGGGCAGGCGATGGCAGTCGACACACGCGTCGCCCGTCAAGCCATCCGGGCAAACCTGGGGGATCGCGGTCGGCTCTGGCGGCAAGCGTTGCCCTTCTTTGCGAAGACCCTTGCAACCTGGACATGAAGTTCGGCTAACGCTGTGAGCAATGCATTGGTTCGGTCTTCCTCTGCAACACCCTTGGCAGGAAGGTGCTTGATGATTGGGTCCTACAAAGTCTGGGCCTCGTTCGCTTTCCTGTCTGCAGCTGCATTTCCACGTCTAAGGAAAAAATGGGTCTCGGCCGGGAATGGCGGAAGAAGTGCTTCCTGCCAGCCGTAGATCACAAATAGCCCCTCCGCATACCTGGAATCAGTATAAGCAGGTGCCCTCCTCGAAGTCACACGCGTGACACAGACAATCGCAGTGAGTTCACCCCGATCAATGCTCTGCAAGGGACCCGGCAAGACATGCTGGAAACTGTCCTGCTCTGCTCCACTGTCGGGATCAACACGAAGGCCAACGAACGCAACCAAAGCGAGGATGGTTTTTGTCCACTGGCATCAGTAAACCACTGTGTGCCAGGCTAGCGCGCTAAAGAACTCACCTTGGCGGATGTGTGGAGCATGCCGGAGAAGGTGATGCTCACATGGAAGGACGGCATGCTCGATGGCAATTGAAATATCGAAGCCACGCTGGAGCACGGCGGCACCAAATACGCCTACTCCTGCAAATGCATTAACCCCAGTCGCGCCACATCCAATGGGGGCAACTGTTTGCGTTGAGTTACAACGACAACTGGCCCTGGCGAACGGCCTGACCCCCTATGATGGTGAGCTGCTTGCCGTCATCTGGCAGGCTGCCATACACAAACAAAGATCAAACCATGCGGGCAGGTTTCACCTACAACCCATGTGATACCACCTACCCGGACTCGGGCGTGTATCTGAAGGCGACACTCAATCACGTCCCGATGCCATGCTGGCGGAACAGCCTGGTTCAAACACCTTGCTGTCAGCGAAGGCATCTATGATGGAGTCCGGTGCCTGCGGGCGATTCATAACCGGCGTGCACGTGTTGCTCCAGATCTGAAGCAGCCTGCTGGATACCTGGGATCCCGGGAGGTCCTCAACCGGCATCTGAGACCCATACCATCTGGATGACCTCCCTGAGCTCCAAGCTCAGATCCTCACACCGACTCCAAACAAAGTGAGGGAAGGGAACACGAGGCAGGGCCATAAGGCCAACAAGAGGGAAAGCCAAACCAGGAGAAAGGATGACGGCTCAGTTGCTCCAGCCACACCACTGGGAGGCGCAGCTCGGCTACAGTACAGGGGACCTGACAGCCAGTGGCTGCAGATGACCATCCCTGTTAACCCCCAAGGAAAGGGACCGGTCTTTTGACCACAATGGTGAAAAGGCAATGCACCCCAATTTGCTCATGAATCCTTGGTTGCTGCTGACCCCTCCGCCAAAAGCTCGTAACCTTTCGTGGGTCCCCTTTGGAAATCCACAAAGTTTCAACCAAAAAGGTAACGTCCAAAGATCCGTTGCCAAATAGCCAAAAGGTCACCTTTAAGTGTGTTTTAGAATAGGCTGGACCCCAAAAAATTGGCTTTCAATTTGGTGTCCCTTCAAACCCCAAAAAGGGTACAGATCAATCCCCAGAAAGAAAAACAAACAACGAGAACACAAAAAAACATCGGGTCGGCCGCGCGAGGGCTCGCTCCCCATGGCCCCGATGTTGGCGGCCCCAATGGCGCTGGTGATGTGGTCGTAGCCCGGCGCAATGTCCGTGGTGAGGGGGCCCAGGGTGTAGAAAGGCGCCTGAGCACTTGAGTCGCTTTGGGCCGCTGTTGGGACTTCGTGTAAAAAAAGAAAAGAGTGGGCTTTGAAAGGAAATCTGAAAGGACACCCACCAAGTTAGCACGAGTCGCTTTGGGTCTTTTGGAACGTCATGAGGAAATCCCCATTGCTGGTGGGCCTGATAGAGGACAACCAAAAGGGAAACCCATCCAATTTGAGAGGGTTCAAGCCAAAGCACGAGCGACACACCCATGGAAACGGAATGACCAGAAAGGCCATCCATTCCCAACAACCGAGAGGTCATTCCCTGAGCACCAGCAAGTCTTGGGACGTGGAAACCAACAGCCAACCGGACATTTTGAGATCCGGTTGATTTCCTTTGAATTTTGGGCAAAATTCCCGGAATGCTGAAAGAAGCAACTGAGCACAGAAAACCAAACATTGCTTGTCTGTAACTTTGAAACAACTTGGAGGGGCATCTAAAAGCAATCCAAGCTGCTATCCCACATGAACATCCCACCAAACGGAAAATCCCATTCTAGGACTAGCTAACTTTTTGGAACTCCCACTTCTTTTTCTACTTCTTCTTCCTCCTCCTCCTCCTCCTCCTCCTCCTCCTTCTTCTTCTTCTTGTTTTTTGGGGGGGCTCTAAAAAAGCTCGGTCTTCTCGTAACATCAACAGGTACCACGAGTTGACTTAGATTTGAAAACCTGCTTTCTGCCTGCCAGGTGGCTTCATGGCACCACTCCAGCTGCTTGCGCATGTTCTCCGGGATCTTGTGCAAGGGTACGTGCCCCGGGCCCTCGTTCATCACCTCCGCCGAGCCAAGGAGCGAGCGAGCGAGCCCGGGAGGCGAGGGTTGCAAAGCCACCAGACCCCGACTCCCTTGAAAGGAACACCCAAAAAGGCTGGCTTAAACCATAATCTGCCAAATTCTGGAACATGTCTGAGACATGTAAAATTGAGGGATCCCCAAATGCAGGCCCTGAATCATGGCCAATCGCTCGTTTTATTTTCGATCGGTGAGCTTGCACGATCGCGGGTGACCCTCTGTTAAACCAAGGGATCCGATCGCCCAGTCCCCCGAATTTCGCCCAGAAGCCTCGTGGATTTCCATGCGGAAATGAAAGAATTGGCGCCCTCCCTTTGCTGATACAGTAGGTGTTGCCAGTTGCTGGCTCTTAAAGACGAATAATTATCTAAAGGAAACAGAGCATCAGCTTCCCTCCAACTGGTGATTTCGATCGGGTGGTTTGGAGATGAGGCGTGATCTTCCGTGAAGGGGGGTCCAAATCCCGAGCCACCACTCCAAGCCATCCACTAAGAGGGTGTCAGCGGACCTGAAGGGGGGTCCAATCCCAAGCCACCAATCCAAGCCACCAGCTAAAAACAAAAACGCACTCGCCTGCACGTTCTTCTCCCACGCTCGCTTCGTGAGCTCCCCTTGGACCTGGCATCCGGTTCTCGGGGGACCTTCCACCTGGAAGATGCACGAGTCTCTGTTTGGAAGGTTGGACCCCCGTAGTGTGTGGTTTCCCCTGTTGGTTCCCTTTTAAACGCCAAAATAAAGGGGGCAGACACTCCAAAAAGGACATAGTCACATGGGTGCATGGTTGCTAGGTCGGACTTGACTTCTCTTTGCCAAAGGGAAGTCGAGGAATAAACCACAAAGGCGCAACAAGTTACAAAAACTCTGGCAATGAACGAACCGTTTATAAACCAAGCTAGACCCCATATCTGTTCAGAAAAATCTGGGCAATTCAGCTTGAAGGAATTCGCAAGGGATCTTCATGAATCAGCTGACAAGGTCCGGATCAGCCTTGGCGCGTTACAATTTGTCCAGATCTATAGGCTCGGACGCACAAACACGCTTCATGGAATGCGAATCGGTGTTCATGCTACGGGCTCTTCCTGACCTGCTGAGTTTACCGCGTCAAGTCCTGGGGCCTAGACCAAAACCATGAAAAAACCTGCCATCTGAAGAGTGACTCAGTCCAGAAACTTGTGAAGCAAGAATGGGACTGTCCTTTGTTTTGCAGAAAGGAGGGGGTGGGGTCCTTCTACAATTTTGTATCGTCCTCACAAATGGCAAAACAGCATCTCAAATGAACTTCTAGGGGGTACCAATACCCCCGAGGGAATGAGTTGGAGGAGGGGGTCCCCTTAAAGGAAACCAGCAGTTGGATGGCTCACTCTCCTTACTTATCGCACAAGCCGGAAATTAGCCCAACTCATCTCTTTTTTCATGTTCGTTCCCTACTTATCCGCACCAGCCAGACATGTCCCGCCCAACAACCAAATCCCTCCGCCGGCGAGCGTCTCATTCTCCGCTTTGACAATCCCCCGCCTTGAGCTCTCCAAACTGGGCCTCGTCGTTGGCATCCTCTCAGCTTGAGCCGTCCCCTTTTGGCATGTCCCGAGACACGTGGAGAGACAAAATACGCTGCGCCTTTCCGAGAGAAAAAATACGCTTGCGTGAAAAAAGGAAATTCTGATGCGAAAACCGAATCCCTGTGAGCAATGGGAAGGGGCAGCCCAAAAACCTACTGGCAACCACAAAGCGCACATGGCGAGAGATGTGACATCATTCAAAACCCGCCCCACAACCCAAAAAACAAAAACAAAAACAAAACCACTCGTCCGGCCAGCCTCTCCATGAGGCTTGGGGCGATTCCCCAATAAACCCAATTGCGTTGGGGGGATCAAATGAATCTGTCAGTTGGGTTCTGCAAAATCGGGTCCCAGATCCTTAATCCTGATCCGAAATCCGCAGTGGAAAGGGTCACAAGAAGGGGTTTCGAAACCATCACCATCTGGCATGAGGAAACCATTGCCAATCTGGGGTAACTCAAGAATACAGAAACCCTGGAATGATTCGATTCCCCAACGAAAATACCGAGTTTCGCAACCATCCATATGTCTATGCCATATGCAAAAAAACATGTGTACTGAACCCCAACGGCTGGCTGAACATTTTGAACCCAAACTTCGGACCTTGATGCAGCCGGGGCGTAGCCCATCCCCGATGCTGAGGGACCTGGCGAAGTTCGTGTCACATTGGACCTAGGAGTCTTCTCGCTGGTGGTTTTTGTTAGAGGGTTAACATTCCAACAGGTTGTAACAGATGTTTGTTGGGGATTTCTTGACAAACATGTCCAACCATGTTTCTCGGGGCAGCAAACTTGCCCTTGGAAAACTATGGTTCCAATTGCTCGTTGGTTGCTTTGAAAGAAAGGCTACCTCGTTTTAGGGGGTCTGTAGGGGCTTCTAACTTACATGCTCCAAGTATTCCAAGTAGTTGGATCAAGCTGGCAAGCGCAGACACGGATGCAAACAGACACAGACGCGCGCGCACGCAGACACACTCGAACAGACACAGAGACAATTGCGCGCAGACGCACTCGCAGAAACGCACGCGCGCGGACACACCGACACACGCGCACGCACAGACAAACCCTAAGAAACAATGAGGGTCGCTCACGCGATTTGGAAGGAGGGCGGTCACGATGTATATCGAGCGACCCGCCGTGAGGGGGGGGGTCGGTCGCGATGCGCAGAAAAGGGGGCAGTCGGATACGGTTTCGCGAGCGGCCCCTGACTTGAGGGGGTCGGCCGACTTATATCGCGACTGGCCCCCTCCCCCCCCGGTGTCGCGATCGGCCCCCCAATTTTAAAAGGGTGCGGATTGATTTTAGGATTTTGCGGATTTATTTGTTTGTTTTTCGTCTGGGCCAGGAAAATGTAGTATTTTACAGCATTTTCTCGTGAAATTGAGGCGTTTTACACTAGCCCGTCAACATCCCCATCATCGTTTTTTCATCCCCGCATGTCCAGCCAACATCCCTAGCATCACCAACAAATCGTGGGTAGCAAAATCAAAAAATAGCTGGCGGGTTGACGGGGTCGACAAAATGGATCATTCAATCCCTGTAAAAAAAAATAGGGGTTGGGAGGGGGCGGCAGCCCCCCCCCCATGATGTTCGCAGAAGTGATGATTCGAATAGGGGTGCAATTAAATCTCTGCAAAAAGTTTGAAAAGTAGCGGGGTTGGGGGGGGGGGGCGGCAGCCGCCCATGATGTTCGAAGACTTGATGATTCAACTAGGAGTGCAAATAAATAAAACGCAGCGGGGGGGTTGGGGGGGGGGGTGCCCCCCCCAAAAAAAAAGTGATGATTCAAATAGGGGTGCAATACAATCTCTGCAAGAAATCTAAAAAGTAGCGGGGGCGAGGCGGTAGCCCCCCATGATGATTGAAGAAGTGTTGATTCAAACAGGGGTGCAATTACTGTCCAAACAATCTAAACAGTAGCGGGTGGGTCCCCTCCCATGATGTTCGAAGACGTGATGATTCGATGGAACTCTTCCAGAACGGAACTGGTTATGATGATTCAAATGGGGAGGAACTGGTGATGCTGATGACGCGGGAAGCCAGATCCAAAAACCAATGAAAGGTGCAAAAGCCAACAAGCCCGGAAAGGAACTGGGAAAGCAGAGGGGGCGAAAAAACCAACACCAACACGCAACAAAAAGTCGAAAAGCCCAGAAGCCGAGAAACCAAAAAGCCAAGAAGCCGAGAAGCCGAAAAGCCAAGAAGCCACGAAGCCAAAACGCCAAGAAGCCAAGCCAAGAATCCAAAAGCGAAAAAAAGAAGAAGAACAAAGTCCCAAAAAAACGACAAATCCTACAATAAATACCCCTCCTTTTTTAAAAGGAATTTCATATACCGCGTGGCGGCAACCCGATCGTTCGCGCGCGACTGCCGCGGCCATTAGTTCCAGAACAATCTTACGAACTACGCTAGGTAGCAACTCTTTTCTGTCTTTGCTTTTGCGTCGTCGATCGGCGGCCGTGCTCGCGCTCGTTCGTCTCTTGCCCCGGTCACCTCGAAAAACCACAGCACTCACGTACTCAGTCACACTCGCTCACTCATTCACTCACTCACTTCACTTACTCACTCACTCACTGACTTGTGTCACTCGCTCACCCCCAATCGTTAGCGAGAGAGTTCGTAGGAAAGAATGCTTTTTGTCTGAGGCGCGTAAGGTAGGTCAAGCGACTGATCGCTAGGGGTTGCGCAGGCGAGCTCCACGCCCGAAAGCTGCGCTCAACGAGCAGCGTCTGAAGCACATCCTGCTCGTTCCTTGCGCCGGACTTGGCGTTCACCCAGACGAAGTTGCCGCGAACATCAGCGAACGATCGCAGCAGCTTCTTGCCGAAATGATTCCAGAGCCCCACCTGCACCGCTGCCGACGCAGAGAAGGCAGTGGCTTTCTTTCCCGTTGCAGGAGCTGAATTGACGCAAGGGGGCGCCAGTACGACTGCAAAGCGCTGCGGCCCCTTGGAAGAGGGCGCCACGGCGCCATGGAAAGCATCATGACGGAGGAGGACCCGCAGACTAATCGGCGTCCTCCAGGAAGAAGGACAAGAAGAAGGCCGAGAAGGCGAAGAAGGAGAAGAAACCGAAGGAGAAAGACAAGGTCAAGTCGTCTGCAGCCGTGCGCTTGCGCTGCCGCTCCGATGTCAACAAAGCCGCCGCCGCGCCCTTCGCGGCCTCCTCCATGTAGGCGGCGAGGCGCTTGGTCGTTGGCTTTTTCTTGAAGGCCGCGGCGCCGTCCGATTTCGCCTCCAACTTGGGCGCCCGCTGCCTCTGCTCGAGGGCGCACAGCGCCAGCCGCCACGCCTGCTTGCACTTCTTCTCGCCATGACGGAGGATGGCGAGATCCGCCTTGGTGTTGAAGAACTGGCAGGCCGCAACATACTTCCCGCCCTGTGCGGAGGTCAGTGGTGAGCAGCCACTTGGCGACCAGCCCCAGAAGGTGATATAAGGTGGCTTGGGGTGGTAACGGCAGCTTTGTGGGCAGGGGTGAGTTGTGTGACCCTGCATCGAAAGTTGGTCCCCAAAAAGACTTCAAGGGGGGCAAATGGTTGAGGGTTGGGATGTACAGCTCCCTGAAAGGCAGACCTCGTCAGGATCCAAAGTTGGTCCCTAAAAGGACCCTAAGCTTGGAATGGGGGGGGGAATGGTGGAGGGTCCAAGCAAGGCTAAATGAGGCCTGTTTGGGGGTAGTTTGTTTGGGGGGTAGCTTTTGGGACCTATCACGTAGAAAGTTGGGTCCCAATACCAACTCTTTTCAAACCAAGCGCCAACCAGGGTCTGGTTGTTACACATCTTGCCCAATGCTGAAGAGCGTCGCGCGCTGGAATCAAGACTCTGGCGAAACTGGAAAGCGCGCGTCCACGGTAAAACCAGATTGGCTGGCTGTTCTGATGCATTTCTTGTAGAACGAGGACCACTGCCCTACTCTACATGGGACAAATTCCAGAGTCTCCCCTTCTCGTCCCCCCCTTTTTGTGCTGACCAAAGGCTCTGGATAATTTCTGAGAACAAGCAGGAGCACACTCTCGGGCCGTGACATTTCCAGCCAAGCATGTTGGCCCTCGCTGCAACCGACATAAACTAAAGAGGCCGAGGAGCTGACTGCGAGCAGCTCCAGCAGGACGCCCAAGATACCTGACGAAAGGTTGGCTAAAGTCACAGCAGCCGTCCAAGCGAGCAAGCGGCCCAAGAGGCCGCGTCGTGCTCGAATTTGGGAAACCCGAGTTGGCGGACGAGGTCAAGGAGGCTGTTCTGGACCCGCCAATAGATGGGGCTGAAGGTGGAGCCCGCCACAAGAGTCGCTTGATCGCACAAGGCCTTCTTCGTCTTCCCCACCCTCTTGTGGGCATTGGCCGCGGTAGCGCGTCCCAGTGCGTGCGCGGCAGGCCGCGAAGCGGCGTGGGCGCATCGTTGAGGCGGGCACTGTGCTGTGCCTTCTGGGCACGGGCCAAGGCCATTCTGGGTCAGAGCGCTGCACTGCGCCCATCCAGCTCTGGCCGAGCGCTTGGCCGGTGAAGAATTGCTCCCGCGCAGCTGTGGGAACCAAATCCACAAGCTCCTTATACTCCGCCGGCTCAAAAGCCGCCCGCCGTCAGGTGCGTCTGCTGCCCAGACATACGCTGCCGCCTGTGAATCTTCTTGCCCCCACACCGCAAGCGGCCCAGCGGCCTGCTGAAGCCTGCGCGAGCGCGCCCCCCGCTTTCGCTGCAAAGCTTCGCCTTGCTCTTGGCCTTCTCGCCGAGTCGTTGGGGGCTGCGCTTGCGTGAGGCCTTTGTGACGTTCAGAGCCGGCGCACGTCGCACGTGTCTTGCTCAGTCAGGACAGTGTCTGCGAGCTGCGCCGCAGTGACACGACCAACGACAGGCACTGTTTGCGCTGGCCGGCTCAGGTGGTCCAAGGCCGTAGCGAGTATGTCTCGGGCGGCGTCGTCGACGTCCACCCGGCTGTGCCAAACGTGCGTGGGTCGCGGCCCAAGGCTGCGGCCGTGGCACGGAGCCATTCGGCTTGCGCGGCGCTCGCCTGTCGCGCCGCCCATCCCACTAGTTCCATGAACTGCCGCGCCTGGAGCACGCCCGTGTGGACGAGCGCGCCGACAAGGCGGCGTGCGCAGCGGCATGCGAGTGTCTCCTGCGATCGCGGCCGTGTGAGTAGGGCGAGCTCCTCGGCCTCGCTTGGTAGGGGCTCGCGGGCAGTTCCAGGCGTGGGGCGGCGACCTACGTCTGCAAGGGATGGCGGCGTGGCAGGTGGCCGGATCCTCAAGCCTTGAACTATAAGGCTACAGCGCTTGGTGGGTTGTTAGGCCCGCGGTTTCGGCGGACGACGGCGGGGCGGACATGCTTTCTACGGCGCTGGCAAGGTGCAGGTGGCGGCCAACGCTTTGGGCTCAGTATTTGGGCGCGCGCGGGTTCGCGGCCCGCCCGTCCCCGCTCATCTGCCGGCCCCGCAGGGGCGCCGCGTGTGGTGTTGAAGCGCTGTGTTTTGTTGTAACAAAAACTAAAACCCCGGTTTTGTTCTTTCAAAAACTAAAACCCCGGGAAGCCGTTCCCTGTCGAGGCCCGGCCTCCGGTCATGTCTGCTCGCCGTGCTCCTGCCTTAGGCGCACGGTGCGGGTTTCGATGGCCCTCTCGCTCCCCGCGCCAACAGGACTTACGCGCGAGGCGCCAGCAGGATGGGTCTACAGGCTCCGCCGCTCCCCTGTCCTGCCTGGCCCTCCACCGCCTGTGGGCTGGGTTTGCTTGCGTTCGCTCCCCTCTCCAGCAGGGCTTACGGGCCAGGCGACTGTGGGATGGATCTGCTAGCCGCAGCCGCTCTCCTTTCCCACGGGACTTACCCCACGCTGCAGTGTTGTCTGCCACTGTGTGTGAAGTTCTCTTGCTGCGTGCAGATCTTGATAATACGGACGGGACTCAGACAATGGGGCCTCAGTGGTGCCTCCAGCCCTTTGTCGGGGAGCTCGGCTAGCTCCGCGATCAGTTCCTCGACTCTAGGGTTTATTGGTAATAACCCAGGCGTGGGCGCTTTCCCGGAGTCTCCCTGGCCACGCACAGACACACGCACACGGAGACGCGCGCAGATACGCGCACAGACGCGGACCAAGCAGACCAGACACGCACGCGGACAGACGCACGCAGACACAGATGCACACTACTTCATGTTGCCTGGATCTTGCAGGCCGTATTTTCTGAAAGGTAGTCCTAAAAGACTGACCCCAGAAAGTAAAAGCACACACACACACAAGTTACTCTTTGGTCAGGAACCGGACCACCCAACAAAGCCCAGTAGACAAACGTTTCCCAGGGACTACATCCCCACCAAAATCTGGCCCTGCACTTGTAACGCTCTTTGAGGGGTCGGCTTTTGGGTGTTTTGGGGACAACAAAGCGAATGCAAAGGCTTGCAGCGCTGGGGATGACCGGAGCCTCCATCAATTTGCAAGGCTCAAAGCGAGCTTTGGCAAAGACTTAGAAGCACGCGACAAGAATCCGAACCATGATTTCTACCGTAACTGGCAGATCCTCTGCCAAAAGTTAACTTGTGGGGTGAAATTCGGAAACTGCCACTAAATCAACTAAAAAGATCTAAAAGTTCAAGGAACCGGTTGGCTTGCCACCCAGTGGAAGCCCGGATCTCTCTTCTGCTTCGAGCTTCGAACAACGGCCAGAAGCCGAGCTGACTGCTAGACGCTGACAACTCAGCTCAGGGCAGTCCATCCACTGAAGGTCACCCTAAAAAGACTTGGTTGCTCTGCCAAAGGTTTAACTTCTCGCGGTTTCAATGGAAAGTCCGACCTGTTTCCCAACAAAAAGTTGAAAGTCCAAAGATCCAATCCTTTGCCCTGGGATCTTCAAAGGCGTTGTCTGTCCCCAAATGGCCCCAAGGCCAATTTTTCCATACATCCGGCAGATTGGCATCGCACAAAGGGCCGGCACGGCACGTCGTACTTCTTGCAAATGTCCAGGATGTCGTCCCAGTGCTCGTACGCAAAGTTTTCCTCTGGCTCTCAAAATGAATCGGCCGCGGATCAAACTACATGCTGATTCGCTGCTCTTGTGAGTCGCCCTCTCAAAGCACCCAAACGGGGGGCCAACCGACATGAAAACTAAACCACAGCATACTCATTCTCAGCAAGCCAAAGTGACCGGCCCAAAGTCAATGTCTTAGCCAAAGTGACCGGCCCAAAGTCAATTTCTTAGCCAAAGTGACCGGCCCAAAGTCAATTTCTCAGCCAAAGTGACCGGCCCAAAGTCAATTTCTTAGCCAAAGTGACCGGCCCAAAGTCAATTTCTCAGCCAAAGTGACCGGCCCAAAGTCAATTTCTTAGCCAAAGTGACCGGCCCAAAGTCAATGTCTTAGCCAAAGTGACCGGCCCAAAGTCAATTTCTTAGCCAAAGTGACCGGCCCAAAGTCAATTTCTTAGCCAAAGTGACCGGCCCAAAGTCAATTTCTTAGCCAAAGTGACCGGCCCAAAGTCAATTTCTCAGCCAAAGTGACCGGCCCAAAGTCAATTTCTCAGCCAAAGTGACCGGCCCAAAGTCAATTTCTCTAGCCAAAGTGACCGGCCCAAAGTCAATTTCTTAGCCAAAGTGACCGGCCCAAAGTCAATTTCTCAGCCAAAGTGACCGGCCCAAAGTCAATTTCTTAGCCAAAGTGACCGGCCCAAAGTCAATTTCTCAGCCAAAGTGACCGGCCCAAAGTCAATTTCTTAGCCAAAGTGACCGGCCCAAAGTCAATTTCTCAGCCAAAGTGACCGGCCCAAAGTCAATTTCTTAGCCCAAAGTGACCGGCCCAAAGTCAATGTATCATAGCCAAAGTGACCGGCCTAAAGTCAATTTCTTAGCCAAAGTGACGCCCAAAGTCAATTTCTCAGCCAAAGTGACCGGCCCCAATGACCGGCCCAAAAAAAGTGACCGGCCCAAAGTCAATTTCTTAGCCAAAGTGACCGGCCCAAAGTCAATTTCAGCCAAAGTGACCGGCCCAAAGTCAATTCTCCAAAGTGACCGGCCCAAAGCCAAAGTCAATTTCTCAGGTGACCCCCAAAGTCAATTTCTTAGCCAAAGTGACCGGCCCAAAGTCAATAGCCAAAGTGACCGGCCCAAAGTCAATTTCTTAGCCAAAGTGACCGGCCCAAAGTCAATTTCTCAGCCAAAGTGACCGGCCCAAAGTCAATTTCTTAGCCAAAGTGACCGGCCCAAAGTCAATTTCTCAGCCAAAGTGACCGGCCCAAAGTCAATTTCTTAGCCAAAGTGACCGGCCCAAAGTCAATTTCTCAGCCAAAGTGACCGGCCCAAAGTCAATTTCTTAGCCAAAGTGACCGGCCCAAAGTCAATTTCTCAGCCAAAGTGACCGGCCCAAAGTCAATTTCTCAGCCAAAGTGACGGCCCAAAGGTGACAAAGTCAATTTCTCAGCCAAAGTGACCGGCCCAAAGTCAAAGTCAATTTCTTAGCCAAAGTGACCGGCCCAAAGTTCAGCCAAAGTGACCGGCCCAAAGTTTCTTAGCCATGTGGCCGCCCAAAGTCAATTTCTCAATAGCCAAAGTGACCGGTCAATTTCTTAGCCAAAGTGACCGGCCCAAAGTCAATTTCTTAGCCAAAGTGACCGGCCCAAAGTCAATTCTTAGCCAAAGTGACCGGCCCAAAGTCAATTTCTTAGCCAAAGTGACCGGCCCAAAGTCAATTTCTCAGCCAAAGTGAACGGCCCAAAGTCAAGCCAAAGTGACCGGCCCAAAGTCAATTTCTCAGCCAAAGTGACCGGCCCAAAGTCAATGTCTTAGCCAAAGTGACCGGCCCAAAGTCAATTTCTTAGCCAAAGTGACCGGCCCAAAGTCAATTTCTCAGCCAAAGTGACCGGCCCAAAGTCAATTTCTCAGCCAAAGTGACCGGCCCAAAGTCAATTTCTCAGCCAAAGTGACCGGCCCAAAGTCAATTTCTTAGCCAAAGTGACCGGCCCAAAGTCAATTTCTTAGCCAAAGTGACCGGCCCAAAGTCAATTTCTTAGCCAAAGTGACCGGCCCAAAGTCAATTTCTTAGCCAAAGTGACCGGCCCAAAGTCAATGTCTTAGCCAAAGTGACCAAAGTGACCGGCCGTCACGTCGAAATGAGAGCCCTCCCCCCTGCCTTTCCGTGCACACAACATGGGCTTAACATAGGTGGCCTTTTGGCAAAACAGATGGCCCTGGTAAATGGGATAACACCCATCTAAACCAGTGGAGCCCATCTACTTTGAAGCTAGCCGATCAAAAGGACACCTATGGGGTGACCACCAGGGACCACAGGGGACCACAGGTTTTAGTCATTGTTTCCATTTAGCAGGGCAACCCATTTTGGGGTTGGCCTATTTTGGCCCCACAGCCACGGCTCAAATCCAAGCCTTACGGCATCGATCCTATGCCTTGGGTGCTGCAGATCCCCCAGAAAGAGCCAACGGATCAAAAGGACAGTTCTGGGGCTCCAAATCCCCAACCCTTCCCAAAACATCGATCGATCGGAGATCCTCATGCCGGGAGATGCAGAGCTTCGCATGGATAGAGCCACCTCGGCTGACCTCGGGGTCCCCGGGAGGCCTTCATTTCCAGGCGAAGCGTCTAACGCATCGAGACCTGGGGTCTGCGAAAGTCAAGGAACCATCCATTTGGTCCAAATCCTTTTGTTGGACACCCCAGACCCACCTGAGTCACAAGTAAAACCCGGTAGTTGTCATGGTCGTACTCCCAGAACCGTGTACAGAAATTGAAAAGGCGGATTTCCGCAGCCATTTGTGGTTGGGAGTGTCCCGCACTACCCTCCAACGACGATTTTGATTTGGCTCACCTGTTGAGACCTAAGGCTGAGCTGAGCATCGCAGGTTCTAGCCAGTCGGGGAGTTTGGAGGAACAGAAATGGTGGCGAAAAACCAAGCAAGGTGGGAGCCATTTGGGCCAGAAAAGGTCCCAAATTTTGGACCAACCCTCCTGTAAAGGAGAGCAACCCTCATGTGAAGTGAGCCGAAGACTTTCTAAACTCCAAGGCAAGCAAAAAGTCACAGGAAATCCGCTGGCTGGTGAATGCTCGTTTGGTGATGGGTCAACAACTGACACCCCTTCACATTCACGCCAGTTTCACTTAGCTTCCTGCTCACTACCGTTTCTCCACAGAATCTTACACTGAAGCGGGATTGGATTCCCCTTTGACTGTTTCGTCGCTGTAAGGGGATCATTGAATCAACATGGCCCACAGAAAGCCAAAGAAAACATCAAACGTCCACCCTTGAGGTGCTTGGTTTTGCTTGTTCATTTGGGGGTTGATCAATATTCCTGGCCCCCAAATCACCATGCGGGTAGCTGCTCCCATGTGGTTGAAATATCATCGTTTTCGTGGTCTTCCAAGCAATAGTCCACCCATGTATACCGGACGTGCGGCATGGGTGCAATGGCTGTGCAATGGTTGTGGATGCAGGTGAGCGTGTATACTATCATGTGTGCCGGCACTGGTGCGTTGCTTGTGGAGGCGCGACCCCCCCCCCCCGCCCATTTGGCTGTGGCTAAAAATTGAACAGGAGGGGATTTACGCGGGTTTTGGTCCATGTTTCCACTTACCAGGGCAACCCCATTCTGGTACCGGTTTTTTGGAGCCACAGCCATTTGCTGAAATGATGTGTTTGTTGTGTTTCCCCTCTTGAGGGAATCTATCACTGGATATGTGTTACATTTCCACGGGATACATGGTTGAGCCACAGCCATTTCTGGATGCTTTGGGCAAACCGCGGGTGGTGTTGGTCCATGTTTCCACTTACCAGGGCAACCCATTTTGGAATTCCGGTTTTTTGAGCCAGAGCCATAGCCCGCGTAACCTCGCTCCACCGGGCCGCCGGGCGATGCCGGTGAGGCGCTTGGCGGTGAGGGGCACGAAGCGGAGCAGCACGCCCGCGTGGATGGTCCTCGATGGCTATTACTATAGCCTCCCACCAAACAACACATGGATCCCAGGAATCCTTACATTGTACACCTGAGCATTGCAACTTGTAAATGCTGGTTTCCCTTTATTTGGGTGGAAAAGCCATGTTTCAAATGGGCAAAATGTATCTCTTAGGGAGCCCTGGAACCCTTCGACGTTTCGGGGGGTCCTGGAAGACCATCATGGGGGGCAGAAGAATCCTCTGACCTTCAAACCACCAAATTCGTGGTTTCACCATCTACTCTCCCATCAATTAACATGGGGTCCCTTTAAAAGAAAAATGGTCCAAACCAGGACCCCGAAACGTCGAACGGTTTCATGTCAACTGATACGAATTGATGGTTTGAAGGCTAAGGGATTCCTTTGACCCCTGTGTTTCAAGGGCTAGGAGAATTCCTGTTCATTGTTAGGAGGGAATGTGACTAGTTGGTAGTTTTGAAGGCTAGAGGATTGGATTGGATTGGATTGGATTGGTGTAGGGAAGGGGTTTTAAACTTAACCTTCAAACCAGTGGTTTCCCCATCTACTTTGCCAGTCTCGTCAATCGCCTCGTGCAGGGGCTGTCAAGAAGCGCCGGGCGCTTCTGACCCCGAGAAAAGCAATTTCCCATGGTTTCCTTCAAGGGAGCCCCCTTCCAGTTCATTCCCAACACGCCCAGGAGTCATTTCCTACTGAGCACCAGCAAGTTTTAGGCTGCTAAAAAACGGCCCCAAATCAGCCCCCCCCTTTTACCGTGCTTCCCACTGACTGATTGGGGAATACAAACAAAAATCCATGAAGCCATGACATCCATTCAAGGGACTTTGCAACACAAGTGTACAAAGACCTGAAAATCGGTGTTCCCACTATCCCGCTCGCAAACCTGGGCTGTAACTGATCCCAATAAAGTCGACAAAACTTGTGGGTGAAATTCGGCAACCCAACCACTAAACCATCTAGAAGCAACTAAACGCCTTAAACTACTAAAAACCGAAGCAAACCAACTAAAAGCCACTAAAAACCGCAGTAAACCAACTAAAACCACCAAAACCCAAAGTAAACCAACTAAAAACAACTGAAAACCTAAGTTGAACCGGATCATTTCCTGACATTTCCACCATGGGGCCATTTCCCGAGGCTCCGCGCCAGTAGTCCACGCCCTGCTCCGCCTGCTCGATCAAAGTCTCACGGAAGATCTCCCAGGTGAGGTCTTCCGCGATGCCGTCCACCTCGAAAGTGAAAGGGTCAAAACACCGGGAGAAAAGGATTGAAACAGTGATCTCCCAGGTGATGTTTTGTCAAACCAGCCGGTGATGCAAAAAAGAAGGATTCGACGAAACCGCACCGGAACGCGCGAACGCAGGGAGGGATCCTACATAGGCTCTACAGCACTGGTTCTCAGAAACAGGTCCAAGCATGGGTTCTAACAAGGTGGGCGCCAACAACGAAACGGGCTAAACCAAGTGATCACAGTGTGTTGAAACATTTGTTGGGCTCTAGCAAACATCTTGGAGAAACCAACTCCAAGGTGAACAATCCAGAGGTCAAAAACCAGGGCGTGCCTCAAAACAAGATCTGGATCCTCAAAACTGGTGGTTCTTTGTGTTCGCCTTGAAAACCCCCCCAAACTGGGTACCCTTAAAGAGACACACCCACATTCAGATATTATGTTTCATACTTAGTAAACCTCAAAATAACAAATATAGGAGGAGACACGGTCCAACCAGTGATGAGCTTCGCTGGAACAAGACTCCCAAAAGACCTTCGTGAGGTTTGGCAAAAGGACAATCGTGGGCTATAGACGTTAGGCTTCGAGTTCCCAGCCTTTCCCAAAGCGTACCAGACCCGTTTTCAGGGAGCTTTCCCCATAGCGGACAAAACTACTTTGGCTTCCCAACAAGGACACGGGAAAATTGTCCCACCCATTGTTGTAGTTGAAAGTTGGGGCCCGTCCCCCTTATCGTCATCCCCAAGCCAACTGCGTAGGCTAGACCACACCTGTTTGGCTTCCCTTTCATATTAATATGAAGCGTGTCACCTGAGCGACATATGCACCACATGTCCCACAAAAAAAAACGCCCAGGGACAAGTGGCACATGCCATTGCCATGCCCATTACAATCGTTGATAACACACGCAGCCCCAACCAAACCCACGGCCTTCTCGAGTGCCTGGTAGATGGGCACCGTGCCCACCGGCATGGCCTGGAACAGCCAAACCCCCCAAAACAAGTCCGATCTATTTTTTGGGGAACCTTTGAAGAGTTAGCCCAATGTCTGTTTTAGATGCCGAATCGAATCCACCTGGCAAAAAAAGCAATTGGTGTGGAATCTGCATCTAACTTGTTGAGATCCGAGCGTTTCGCCACCAAAGAAAGGTAACCAGTGTTTATTTACCACTTGGTCAAAGTTCGACCAAGACCAGGATGACTTTGTCTTCTTTGCTCAACCTTTTAGTCACGACGTGCTCAAAAGATTGGTTGACTATTGAATCAGCGGCGTCCTCATATGCAGCAGTTTGCCAGCTTCAGCATTGGCACCATTGTCAAAACACCCTTTGACTTGGGGTTGGCCAGGATGGTCATTGACCTGTTAATAAAGAATTCAGACAACCATTGAATAGGCTCGTATTAGCCCACATAGTGAGTATTGACCATGGCACATCTGTTGGTGGGAGCAAGTGTAGCGGTATTCCAAATACGTGGGGATACCTTCATGCTCTTGTATGGCATGTAGCAAGTATGTCCTGAAGTCCAGGTTCTCAAAGGGGCATCTAAGAAATGAATGCAACATGTTGGACAAACTCTTGTTGGTTGTGTGGTTGTGTGCCACCCCCAGCCCAAAGCAGAAAGAGTCTGCACTCTACTAACTAGGTCCCCCAGTATTGAGGTTAGAATAAGTTGGTACCCGATTCTCTTTCTGTAGTCTATTTTAGTAGGGGAACCCTCCCAACCCAAAAAGGGGTGAGAAGGGGCACCTAGCTGGGGGACCTAGATAAGCTCCATGCAAATGCCTGGCAAAGGGAAACCAAAAGTAACGAAAGGAATCAATGCAGAAAAGCTACCTTGGGGTTTTGTCATCTGTTTCCGTCTCGGGGCAATTGCGGAACAGTCAGATTGGCAAAAAACTTTGTGGCCTTTTCCTTCCCCACGTGATTTGGGGAATGGAAAACCAAAGGAAGAAGAAATGGGTTGAAACTGAATCCGCTGGCCCTGCACTTTTGGGGTAGGTTCCTAGAGCGTTCCAGGCAGGTTCCGACCGCTTTCTGAAAATCGGATTGGGACAAACTCGCTTCCAAACTAAAAACCAACCCGCAAAAAAAACAAGAGAGCGCGCGGCTGGATTCCAGGGGCCCTTCATTTGGGTATGGGTCAACATTAAACCACCAGGGGACTGCAGGTTTTAGTCCATGTTTCCATGTACCAGGGTTCCATTTTGGGTACCTATTTTTGACCCATACCCATTTGGGTGGGCCCAACGAGCACCGTTCAGCACGATTTCGGGTGGCCCCGCGCTGTTGCGGATGATCCACTCCCGGGTCTCGTGGATGTGTTTGCCGGTGCTGAGGTCCATCAGCGTGTCGGCGCCTAGCTTGGCAACCCTGAGAGGCCCTGGGTTTGGTTTGTAGGTTCCTTTTTGGTGTTGGTTTTGTTTTTTGGTTTTTGGTTTTGTTTTGGTTTTGGCCCTGGTTTTGGTGGTTGGTGTTGTTTTGGTTTTTCGCCTAGAAATTTGAGCCCCCTCCCCCACACACAAAGACTCCAAGGTTTCAGGTGTTGACAAGACATCCCTTGGCGGGGGGCGGGGCCTTTTGGGAGATGCTCTGCGCTCGGGTGTGTTCCTTCCCTTGATTGAAAGCCTGTTTCACTTGTTTGGAGCGTCCAGCTGTATTTGATACTGACTCCTCAAGCCGGAGCTGTGGATTCTCTCCAGATCCCTGGGATTCCAAAAGGCCCGGGAATCCCAGGAGTCAAACAATGGCCACCCAGCGGGCCAGCTGAAGTTTTGGTAGGGATCTCCAGGTTTCACGGATTCTTGGGGAAAGCAACGAAAGCCGTCTTGGAAAGTTTAGTATTTGTGATTTTATTTTCAAAGACCTGAGCCCCTTGATTTGATGACCGGCCAAACCGGCCAGCGTTTGCTCCTTGAAGCGCAACGCTGGAGTTCCCCGTATTTCCTCTCAAGCATCACCCCATAAAACGGCAACCAAAAGGTTACAGTATATGCTTCAACCCACCCAGGAAATAAAACCGAAGGCCTGCACTCTTCTGGCTGGGATGTTGGTCGCTAAGGGCCACACCCCACAAAGCGCTCCATTGCAGCTTCTCAACCTCCTCTTCGATGGTGGAGGCCTCGGTCAAAACCCCGAAAATCTGAGGGTGGCCATGGCTCCCGAGAATTGGGTTACAGGAATGTCTACAGGAAAACAGCTGTGTTTTGCGGTGTTGTGGGGCCATGTCCTGTAGATGTTCCTGTAACTAAACCTTTGAGCCATGGCCCTCAGGATTGTTCGAGGCTGTCTAAAAGTATTTTTGAAGCTGATGACTGCTACCAACCCCAAGAGGTGTTTTGACCATGGCACATATGCGCATGATCTAGTTGGAGTTAACCCCTAAGTCGGGCCCCTAAGTTAACACATAATAGTGCAATGCATATATTATATGATATATACATATGGATGTTATATATATATATATCAAAGCAAGACTTATGTACGTAGTTTGTGGATGAATATACTATACACACGTCCTGCACTTCCCTAGGGTTGCCAGCTACATGTCTTGCGTGCACCCCCCCCTTTACCAACCGAGACCTTTCCAGTTGAAGTTGCAGGCACGTGCGAGCGGCGGCCACGTTCATGTCAACAGCCACATCCCTGGTGCGTCAGCCAAAGAAGCATGCTGTTCGCAGCCCTCCTAAATGAACGGAAAGTCCAAGGCATGCCAGGGACTGTGAAAGCTCTTAAAAAGGCATTGAATGGCTGGAAGCGGTCTTTGGGATTGCAAGGTCCTTTGATACTTTGGCCGCAAAAGGTTAATATGTCTCTCATCTCTCTATACTTAATCCCCATCAAACGATTGGGGACACCAAGTGGCAGGCACGCAGGGGAAAAAGGGATAGGGTGAAACAAAAAAGAGAAAGCACCCACAAAAGGGCCGCTATGTTGCAACACATGGGGCCGAAATCGCGAAAATTGTCCAACACTACTGTGGATGGACGAAATCCTGTATGGGTTGGTAGGTGGTTTGTCCCATTATTTATTACAGGGCTTCATCGACCCAAAGTGGTGCGAAATGGATTTCGTCCACCCACAGTAAGATCAACTCGGACCAAACGACCCAGCAGTGTCCATAGCAACCATGGAAACCATAGTGAAAACGATCAGATCCGCGAGTTGGGGAAGCGCGTAGTAAAACGACGCAGCCACCTCCGTGCTACTCCTACACGACCAGCAACTGGTTCTTCTGAAACCGGGTTTTCAACTGGGTGAGAAGCCAATGGACTTCCTTTTGATGCCCCATTTCATACACTCCGAAAAGCCGGATGGTCTGCAGTTCGCTTCTTCGAAGCAACACATCATGTCCCAATGCCTGTTTGGAGAAACAGGGGTAGCTGAAAGTCTGCACCTTGAGGCGTCGAAAAAGGCTTCTACCCGAATTGCCGAATTTTTGGGACAGATCATCAAGCAAGTGGCAGGGCCAGGTGCCCAGAGTTGCAGGTCAGAAATCGAGGCCGAGACTGCTTGCAAAAAAAGACACCCAAAGGTGGCCAAGTACAAACTTCAACCAACTGAACTACCCATGTGCATACAGAGCTCCTGGTAGCTCCTTGGCCAGCGCTCCCTCTTGAAAGACAAATTTACATACCCCCGGCTCCCCAAGTGGCTCCCAACCAAGCAACTGAAATCGAGCTCTCTCTTTTTGGGATCCATGGTAGATCGGATGAGCTAAGCCCTTTCACTGGGGCAGTGAGGCACCGGCCCACTTCGTCCCTGTCAAGACAAACCTTTTGGGACCCGTCCTATCGAGGAAGCCCGGGCCGGTTCCTGTTGCTCAGCCCCGGCCCCATCGGAGGGAAAAGCCGAGAAAGCCAACTGTTAGTCAGCTGGGTGCGCGGCCACCGCGGAGTTGCCGATGTTGGAGTTGATCTTCACCTGACCCGCGAGCCTTACTAGGTCCTCCAGATTTGAGAGGTTAGAATAAGCTGGTACCCGATTGTTCTCTGTAGTCTATTTTAGTTGGGGAACCCTCCCAACCAACAAAGGGTAAAAGGGCACTACTGGGGGGGCATGTAGCGGGTGGGTAGGTTGAGAGGAGGTGCAGAGCTGAACCCGCTTTGCCTGAGCTGTCGGACACCCCAAAAGGGCAAAAGGGGCAACGGGCCGCTGAAAGAGGGCAAGGTTTGTTATGTCGATGAAAGGTTCAAGCGTCTTGGGTCGTATCTGAACCAACACGTTCGGCGTTGTTTGCCGTGGAAAGGCCATAGAGGCCATGAAATTGATCCAGCGAAAACGTCAATCTGCCTCAAGATGCCGCTTTTGAAACTACGCCTCGGTTTGGTTTGGCTCGTTTTGGTTCGGACTTGCTTGGACTTTAGAGTGGTAGAGGTGCAGCCATCCAGTGCTCGCAAAGGTTACCCAAAAACAACCCACCAAATCTGGGCTGTTCCCAGCGTCCCCGGCAGAAAGTCCAGCGGCCCTTGGTGGAAACCACCACTCCCTCAACAGCCAAAAACCGAAGGAAACCCGATCGTTCTGAACCCCCGAATGACAAGTTCACCTGACGTTCAACCGGGATGGAGGCACTGGAAGCTCGAGCCGGAGCTGATGAATCCATGGCGAATGCCGCTTCGATGTCATTTGGGGCTGCAACTCGCAGCTGGCTCGCCCCAAAACTTTGGGTGCTTCGTCGCAAGGGCCAAGCACCCATCCACCAGCGGAGAGACGAACTCTCTTGTCTTCCAATCTGCAATTGATCCACAAAGGACAACGACATCATGGGATTCGGGGAGGGACGAACTCATATTTCTTCATTGTTCTACAACAAATCCAAACCCGAAAAGTAAAGACATGCTCGCTCGTGTTCCCCCCGACTTGGCTGGCTCGTCATCCAAAAAAAACGATGCGCGATGCCTTGAATTTGCGACCGATGATCATAGGCTCAGACCTCAGCTCCGAGTGTCTCGGCAATTTGCCTACAATTTCAACAATATCACTTAAAAATGTTGAAAATATGACATGTTATATTGTTCTGAATATTATTAATTAAATCATTACAGCCATGACTCGGCAGCATGCGCCAGGTCACGCAAGGGGCGAAATAACAACTACCCTTTTACTAACATAGCGCCCCACTGGAGGTTCCTTTAAGAGGAAACGAATCTTCCAGGTGCTATGTTTGTGAGAGGAAGCGTCGGATGACTTATGCCCTAGTGGTGAGCGTCCGGTCATAACCCATTTCGACTTGCCAGGGGCTACAACCAAGGTTAGCTTACTTGTCAAACTACTAGACACAAACTGGAAATCGGCAAGAAACCTCGAAGCGAACCCAAAAAGGGGCCCAGTTTCCCTGTTCAGTCCAAATTCCAATCCAACCTCCCCAAGACTGCAAAACGCCATCGCACCATTGTTTTGTTGCAGTCATCCGCATACATTGGACCCCCCCTCCAAACACGATAGGCTCTGTTTCTCAATGGGAAGACTTGTCTGGTCTTAGTGGTGATTGATCCAAGTGTGAGACCTCACATCTCGGTATGATGCAGCCCTGATTATTCTTGCAAAGGCACCCACTTCTGAAATTCCGTGGAATATCGGCCCCAAAAGGAAACTGATGCCCGAAGTAATTTTCTACCTTGCGGGTCATCCTAGGAGGATCCCGAACGTCAATAAAGGAGATATGTAAACCACCCCAAAGCGAACACCGGACTTTCTGATTTTAGGGCCCCTCCACAAGAAACTCCCACGGAACATCGCTTGTCCTCTGCTTACGTAAGTTCCCGGCTCCGGATGGTTGCGGTTCGAGGGGATGATTGCCTCGAAGCTTTGGTTTTCAGGCATGTCTTGGCCGAGTTTGGAACTTCTCTTCGGAGCATTGGTTGGACCAATAGGGCATAGATCGCACAAAAACAAAAAGCAGCATGGACCATTTAGATGTGACTTTGCAGAAATAATGGTCACAAAAGCAACTGGACTCAAAATAGACTCGCTCAATTTGGCACCCGAGGTCTGATACGCGCAAATTCCAACTAATCCCCTGAGGGGGGCGGGGGCTATTAAGCTGCTCTGTTTCGTTGAACAGCAAACCAATGACTCTTCGGTCCCTTGCTGAACTCATCTTGACACCCGAACAAATCCTCGGGGCAACATGGATGTGATAGAAGAAAGGGGAACCCGCAACCTGGGTGGTGTCCCTTTGAATCCCTATAAAGACACCCCCAAACGTGTACTCAAAAGAAGGCATTGTCCATATTCCTAACTCAATATTATTATTATTATTATTTTTTTTTTTTAAAAAAAAAAAAAAAAAAAATAAAAAAAAAAAAAAAAAAAAAAAAACGTGTACTCAAAAGAAGGCATTGTCCATATTCCTAACTCAATATTATTATTATTATTATTATTTAAAAAAAAAAAAAAAAAAAAAAAAAAAAAAAAAAAAACACCCAGCTCACGCTATTTCAGCTACTTGTGTTGGGTCAAACAATGTGTGCGTTCAACTAAATTAGGGATAATTAGGGGACCCAAAAATTTGCGATGTCCTTTAAGTACCCCTTGAAACCATGAAAAAGAGAGGGGGGGCCCCATTCTGAACAAGGACCTGGCCAAACTTGTCTGAGTCTGTGCCGGCCACTCACTGACCCGACGGGCCGCGGCCCATGTGGCCGCGAGGTTCGGCTGTTTCACCTCCAAATTGAGTAGCTTGTTCCAACTTAGCCAGACCAAAAATGCCCCCAACAGAATGGTTGGAGGTATTGACCTCTCAAATGGACAGTTCAAAAAGTACCAGCCCCCCCCCCCCCCGCAATGACTGGAGAATACTGGAGGCAACAGTACTTGTAATCAAGTCTCTAAGTAGGAATAGTTACACGTCTTCGTTTGAACTCATTCAATGTTGACCTTTACCTCATGTGATGATAGTTCTCCTTTTCAAACCCTAGGCAACCATTGTTGGCATTTGCAGGGGGAATCGCATCATAAACCAGGGTTTCTTAGAACGGTGGTGCGTTGGATGGATTTCGTTCATCAGAAGAAGAAATGATACTGTGGATGGACGAAATCCTGCACCACTTTGAAACCACGGGAAACCATTGTTTGACGGTATTTACAGGGCAATCATTATCCTAGGGTTTCTTAGGTGGTGCAGGATTTCATCCAGCCACAGTATTTTGCGAGTTACCCCATGGCAATGGTTTCCTCATGCCAGGTACTGGCTCACGTAGCTTGGTGGTAATGATAGTTGAGGGTTGATGAAAAAGATCCGTGATACATAGGATGACCATGGGGGGACACCACTAAGAAGAAGGTTGGATATGTTCCACATGGAAAAGTTACCCATACTCAAAACGGGGGGCCGAACGGAATATTGATCAACCCCCAGTTTTTGGTAACGATCATAGGTGTCCTTTTGGAACGGTGAACCCGTCCATTTCTAGCCATACTAACCTAAAAAGGACACCACCCATGGGAATGATAGTTCTGCTCGCCCTTCCCCAAAAAACCGAAAAGACAACTCGAACCGAACGATCGATGTCGACCTGAGCGCCCCTTGCGCGGCCCCGCGCCACTTCTGAGCGCACCAGCTCCGGCTCTACGCCCTCACGCCTCGTCAATTGGGTTCACAACTAGGCTGTCCGTTTCTTGTTGGTGCGTTAGGTAGGGAATGGAGGGAATGAACCCAGGCTTTGGTCCCCGAAGAAGGAAACTATTAGTTGGTGGTTAAGGAGGGGTTTCCCATGAACCCTCTACAAGAACAAAGCTCAAATCCCCAAACCACAAGTCCACACCGCCAAGGCGTACCTCCAAATAACTAGAATACTCCCACATGACCAAGTTTGTCATGGTTCAGGCCCTAAGCTCTTCTATTTTTTGCGAGGCCTATGACAACCTACTTTGAACCAAGGGAAACTGAGAGGAAATCAACCCTCCGTTACATAGCCCTCGGGTTCTTGGAAGGTGTCCATGATATTTTCGGAGGAACATGCCCCAATATGCAAAAACATGCCCAAAAACATGCGAGGAGCAAAAAAAAGTGATCGCGGTGATTGATCCGATGCCGCCAAGCTGGTCCTTGGTGGTAGTGGCTGTGGCCGGGTTTTGCCTTCGAGTTGTAACCAATCGCAAGCAATGTCAGCATCAGATCTAATCCGGAGGACCGCGCCCATGGCTGGAGATCTGATCTATTTGGCTGTAGCTCAAAAAGATGTACCACAATGGCACCTCGATAAGTGGAACCAAAGACTAGCACCTGCGTAACCCTGGCCCTTCAATTTTGAGACATGCCCATTTCGAGATTCCCTGAGCTGAATTTGTGAGAGTTCTCCGTTTCATTCGAAGTCATGTGTTCCACTCTGGGCTTCGAAATGGAGGGTTCACCAATCCACTTCTCCATGTCCTTGAATACAAGGGTTGCCAGGGTTTGTCCGTCCCATGGCCGCTTTGTCCACCCGAAATCAGGGAACCCCCCAATTTTTGTTTTGTGGTTTCAGGATTTGACCCCTAACCACCTAAAAAACCTGCGATCCGAACCACCAGTTACGGGGAAGCTGACTATATAACCTACCACATTTCTTCGGGAAACCGCCTCTCTAACCACCAAATCACCGGGCCCGGAAGCTGACGATGGAGGAACCCGCGAAAAACCTCCAGGCACAGCCCCGATGCGATTCTCTGGGACCTCCGGCGCAGCGATGAAGGCCATCTCCGCGGTGATGACGCCCTGCCTGGCGCCGTTTCGACGTCCGCGGGGGTCTGCTGAAGCTTTTTCAATCGAAGACGTGCCCCGGCCGAAACAATCAAAGCCAGAAAACGGAGAAAAAGGGCGCTTGAGGTCGAAGAGAATCAGGTATGAACCAGCCGGGTTCACTGCCCATGCTTGCCAAACGGGAAACCAGTCGACAAAGGGCAACTTGGGTTCTTTTTGGATGAATTGCAGCTGTAAGAAACATCTGGAAATCAGGACTCCTCAAATAAGGGCCCTTCATATCGATGAGGGCGCAAAGCCCCGGTTAGCGAGGATTATGGTTCTAGTAGCCCACAAACACCAGCAAGCCGCAAGTCCAGTGAGCCTTTCTTTTAGATGGTCTACAACAGAAGCAGATCGTGAACGGAGGGCTTCCAAACATCCTCATCAGGCAACGTATTCCACATCTGATTTGGCCACTTTGGCCATTTGCTCGCTGAACATGGCCCTTTTGTGAGCAAAGCGTCCCCAGTCCCGAGTCCGTTCCGTCGGCCAAAACGCCTGGCATAGAACATCTGGGTGCAGGTGCCGTCTTCGTCAGAAGCCTTCGACAAGAAGCGTCAGCCCCCCTTTCATTGGCTTGGAGCCGAATCGGTGGTTTGGTAGTCCTGCGGGGCGGTGTAGCATTTGCCCTCTACAAGAACCAGGGCCAGGGGGTCAAATTCCTAAACCGCCAACTCAAACCACCAATTGCGGGATACCTGAAAGACCCTGCGAATATGTGAAATTCAAAGCAAACACCTTGAATTGGCAATCAAAAGATCATGTCAAAAACCGCCAAAAGGGGAAATGTAGAGTAGTAGTTGCTATTTTGATGTGGACCTTCTGGAGCCACAAAACCTGGAACACGGCTACCGATGTGGGGTGACTGGCGGGTCCCAAGAAGAAGTCCTGTTCTCACATAAAATATCACCACCCCTTGACTCTTGCTTTGCCCGAAGCAAGACCCTAAGGCCCTGTTAATGCCTTGGCGTGCATTCATGGAAGGGAGGTGGGGAGGGGGGAAGGGGGGGTGTTGGGGATCGCGCTGGAACAAAAATCTACCGGCCCCCCCCTCTGTAAAGAAACCCTCGAGGTTCCAAGACAAGAGTCACAAGAGTCGAGCAACACAGGAACCTGTTTCCGGGCGAGCGATTTTTGGGTTACCAAACAAAGAAATTGGAGGGCGCCACTGAACAACTGGCATCTTGTGATGGTGTGCTGTATTCGTGAGGTTTACGATTTCCCGGGCAGCGTCTCCTGGGGCACATTCGATGCCCTGCCCAATCCCCAGTGCCTTCCCAACTCCTGGTATGTCAGCAAAACATGATTCTCCAAAAAGCCTTTGAAGAAATCAGCTGTCCGGGAGCCCATGAGAACCAAAAGGGATCAATCAAAAGATTTCAAAACAGCCAAGCGTTCTCCGCTCATTTCCCAGCTCTCATTTGTTCTTCAGGGGCTGGACCTTCGGCTCCGAGGCCCAAAGGCTTCGGGGCCGTTGCCGGGCGGATGGCTTCAATCTACCGGGCCTGAACGACCCGTTCCTCTGTGTCGGCCAGCCAAAGCCCTCAAATCTTTGTGCAACTGGCTAGGAACAGAAGAGTCGGCCACATAAAAGGCTACAAGCAAAAACAATGCACCTCAACCCAAAAATAAGCAGAAGCCAAGGACTCGACAACCAGACTGGCGAAGAACAGAAGAAATCGCACCTCGCTGGCCCTCTTCATTGAAAGCGAATGCCTTGGGTTGCTGTTGACCGCCCCCTCTGCAAAAAAGTGTTCTCCACTTTTTGTGGGCCCCCTCTAGCAAATCGTGCCTGTTTCAACCGAAAAATTCAAGCCCAAAGATCCGTTGTCAAAAAAATCGCCCTACAAGACGCCATGCGATGAATGGATCTTCTTGTCCGTCGTAGACGTCTACCGGACATGATTAGACTTGGGTTACGCCCAGTTGTAGAATGTATATTCTGTTGTTTGCTTCCCTTTGAGTCACCATGTAAATTGTAAACCGTAGAAACCCAGCAGAAACCCGGCAGAAGGCGTCCAACTGGCGAAACCCGAAACCGCAGCCCGGCTCTCCGCCCGCCGCCCAACCGACCGCGCCCTCTGCTGGATCCACTCGTGGCGCAGCTTCGGCAGGCCCTCCCGGGGCTCGAAGCCTCGGGTTTCGGTGTCTCCGGCCGCCAGGTTTCCGACAAGAAAGCGAACCCGAGAGGTGCCTGGACCTTTTCCCCACGCGCGCCCGCTTCAACACCTTGAGGGTTGATTCCAATTCCGTGCCTTTCAAGCATCCTTCCTTCCAAAAACCGGGATCCGCTTTCCCTCTGCGGAGGTTTTCTAGAAAGAAGGATCCCTGGAAAGAATGGGGAAGGTACGCCTAGAAAGTAGGCAACCACGGTGTGATTGTGCTCCTCTTGGTGTCCTTCTAAAACCACCAAAAAAAGGGATCCTCAAAAACTGTATAGTTTACCTTAGGTAACCTGCATGCTGTGGGTTGCCTGCAAAGAACAAGCTGGAAGCACTAGAAGCACAGAGCAAAAATTATCAAAACATTCCTTTTGGGCTTGGGAAATGGAAACTAGGCCGAGCATCCGACGCCGTTGGCAGGTCAGCTGAACCTTTGGTTCCCCGCCACAAATCAAAAGATCTTTCAAGCGGAACAGTCGAGCGTCAAGTCCCGTGAGAGGACAAAACCTTTCACAACCGAAACTAGGCTGAGCACAAGTCGTCCATCTAATGGCACGGTCGCACCGAAAAGGGAGGAACCTTGGCGAGGGTTCATTATTTTGGCTTCCCTTTATCACCAATCCAAGGAGACAACACACCCTGAAAACCCAATGTCGGGCTTTTTAGGTCTTCCAATTCACATCAAGAAGGCGCCTGGTGCGCCTGGTGCGCACAGCTTCTTAGCCGCCAACATCATCCCACCCCACTTTTTGGGGGGATTGAAGTGCAGCTTGAGTTGTCCACCTGGGGTTTTCAGACCTTTGACAAGCCCCAGGTGTCCGCATCAAACCCATGACCTTCACAAGTGAGTCTTTCATTGGGCGGCCACACCCAGGGGCCCGGAGGTGTCATAGACGTCCAGGTGCTCACACCCGGGGTCCTCTCGAAACGGCGCTGCGAGACTCCCGCCTTTGTTTCCCCCGGAAAACAAAAAGGAAGAAGAAAAACAAAAGTCGCCTGAAGGCAAACAGTCATTAAAATAACACCGGCAACACAGCTGACTTGTTTTGAAAACCACCACAAAACCCGGTGTTTTCCAAGTTCTTGCTTCCACTTACCGGGGGGAGGGGGGGGGAGGGGGCGAATTCGGAATGTACCTGTCTTTGACCCGCAGCCAGATCGGGAAGCCTGTGGGTTGAGCGGCTTTTTCTCGAGGCAATTCTAGTGGCACGGAGCTTCGGGGGGCTGGAAACAGAAGAACTTGAGCCTTTGCGCTAGGAAAGAGTGGTTGGAACTAGTTGGACACAGTTGACAAAATCAAACAAGCAATAGACAAACAAGCAAGCAAGCAAGCAACAACAAAAAACACAAACTAACAAGCAAACATGCAAGCAAGATGACACACGAGCAAGCAAACAAACAAGGACACATGCAGACAAATAACTATACATGCACGCACATCGATCGGAAACAAGCCTCCAACAAAACCCACGTGTCTCCTTTTTTCAGAGCAAACACACTGGTTGGGAGCTTTATGGCCTCAGCACATATGGCACAAACAAGGCCGAATCAAGGCCAATGCCGGCCAAATATCAGCCTTACCCTCCCACCTTTTCTAACATGGGTCTTGCACAAACCCCTGCTTCAACACAACATTCCTCTTGGAAAGGGGTCCTATGTACTTCCATGCCAGCTGGTGGGAGGTTAACCCCTTGTGGGGAGGGGAAAATTTGCGGGATGCTGCCTTGGTTGACGTTGGAAGGGGAGCAAAAAATCAAATTTAGCAGTTCAGTGGTTGGATTTGATTTCAACCACTCAACCACAATCAGCAAAAATGGAAAACATGTTTCCCAACAACCAGGTCCTGTGTACTTTCACGCTAGCTGGTAGGATGGTAACCGTTTGGGGGGGGGGAAATTTGCGTGATGCTGAGATCCTTCTGTCGATCTCGCCCGATCCCTTCATTTTCCAAAGACCCTACAACCTCCAAACAACACCCCCCCCCCCCCCCCGACACTCGGCAGGCACAACGCTTACTGGGCTCAACACTATATGGCCAAATCAAGGCCCAAGAACGCTTGGTAGCAGCCTTAACCGTGGGGAAGGGGGGAATATGTGCGGGGCTTTCCAAGACCATCCCGGAGCTCGCCTTTGGCTCCGCGCCTTATCCTCCAGGTGGATGCGGCGGAAGGGCACACGCAGCTTCTGGCCGGTGGGCTCGTGGGTGACCTAAAGCCGAGCCAACGAGACGAGGTGAAAGCTGGCGCACTTCCAGGGCGAAACCTAACAGAAAATTTTCTGCCAGCAACCTTTGGCTCAAACAAATGGAGCTCAACTAAACGGAGCCCTCAATGGAGGTGTCCAAACCCAGGGGAAAATTTGTGCCATCCGGCGGCTCGAAAAAAAAACGGGATTCCAAAATGGAGCCCTGGGAAGTGGAGACCTAAGCCAAGACCTGCGGCTTGCCCCGGCTCAAGGAAACGGAGCCCGAGATTTTCGGCGGCCTGGAGGTCCTCCAGCAGAGAGGCGGGAAGAAGTCGGTACCCATTTTTTTTTTCTCGGTTTTGTCGATTTTAGTAGGGGAACCCTCCCGACCAAAAAAGGGGGAGAGAAGGGCAATGCTGAGGGACCCAGCCCAAGTATTCAAATCAGGCTTCACTTGTTTCAAGCGGTGCCGAAGTGGCCCCTGAAAGCAAATCAAAGCCGTTGGTAATCTTGCGGCAACCTGTGGGTAGGGATGACGAAACCTTGGCAAATTGAGTGATCTTCTTTCACCCAATTCAAAGTGCGGCGTGCAACTCTGCTTAGTCGCCCAAAGGCGGGCGTCTTTGGGCAAACTGGTGGAATCGTGTGCTTCTTTGTTTTGCTTTTGGGTGCAGAAAGCAACCAGCCCAGCTAAGCCAGGCAAATTTGTCTTATGCCAAACAGCACTCATCAAACGCGCCCAATGACGCGTTTGCCATAAGCCCCGACCCCGAACAGGAGGAGTCTGCTGTGCGGTGCATGGAGAGGATATTGGAGAAACCGGTTCATAGCACTGCACCTCTTTGGCTGTTTCAATATAAGCCTGGACCAAATTGCTTACTTTCCCAAGAGAACATGGGACCGTTTCTCCTGGTCTTGTTGGGACATGTGGGCTGTCCCCCCCCTCCCCTGTGATCCCCAAACGCAGCATCCTACCAATCATGTTGTCTGCTACGCAGACGGAGATACACACCGGATGCTAGATCTGCTTTGTTGCTTGCTGTTGTCTGCTTGCGGGACGTGTTTTATTTGTATCCCACCCCTTCACATGCAACATAAACTGGCTTGAGGGGCGTCCCCTTGCCCAGCTGGACGAAAGAAGGACCTCCCCTTTCGTGTGGACCATTTTTCTTGCAACTCCAAAAAGACAGACCCCTGGATGGTTGGTTTGGAACGTCTCCCTCTACAAGACATAAGCGCCTACTCTGGATTCCAACTCCCGAACTTGCCAAGGCCAAGCCTCCTGATAGATCTTCTCCGAACTCGGATAAGCATCTTGGAACCTCGGCGACTTGGCGACTCGGCGACTTGCGACGGGGTGGGGGTGGATGTCCCAGCCAAGAACAGCACCCCAGTTTTGGGCTGGCTGCTTTGAATGGGAAGAGGCTTCCCCATACTTCTGCTTATCACCAGACACGGAAACCCGCACGGAAAATCGGGCCTTCAAGGTGTGTGAAGCCGTAGGAACCGGAAAGCCATCATCGCCGACTGCGAGAGGGAAGCTCACATCCGGCTTGTCAAACATGGGATTTCTATGCAAAGTGGCACCGCACTAAAGGAAGCTCGCCTGAAATGGGCCTTTCCACGGGGCAAGGGGCCGTTCCGTCTTCGTGGTATTGGGACCCCTATCGAAGGCGGCAATGAGTTCTGCGGAAATCGAGAGACCAAAGCGCGGGCTCCCCAGGGCATGGGAAGGACAACCCAGACGGGAGCCAACCTTTCTGTCATCTTTGGTCCCTAGTTCTTCTGTCGAATTCCCAGGATTCACATAGAGATAAATCATAATCTTCACGATTGACATCCTGCAACACAAGGATCTATGTTCACCAATTATTCAGGGTGGTCCAACATCGGGAGCAAAAGTTCTATGGGTCACCCCGCTTCCCCCATCCGGGGATTCTCAGCTGTTGCAACCTACCATGTCCCAAACCCCCAATAAACATGACCGAACCCTGCCTCCATTGACGCCCCACATCACTTGTTTTGAACACGCGCTAAATTAAATTTCAAGCCGTGCATGCACAGTACACATATAACGGCTGGCGCTCCCCGTATAACGGCAATGTATCGGCTAGAGCTCTCTGCATAACGTCAAGAAAACGGCTAGTAGCCTTCCCTGCCGAGTTACGGCAGAAACTCCTTGTATCACACAGTATAACGGCTGGTGCTCCTTGACAAACGGCAACATAAAGAGATAGCACGAGAGATAGCGCGTTCTCCTTGTTTGTTCAGCACGTTTTTTTTTGTACAATTAGCGCCCCAAAGTGGTTCCAGCGCGTTCTCGTTCTTCTTCGCAACCAGCGCGCCCGAAAGTGTTCACAAGCGCGTTCAAATTTTGATGCTGACGCGCACAAACACCACGTCATCCATTGATGACCCTCTCTCCGAAAGGGGTAATTACAAAAAGAAATGCTTGTATAACTAGGCGCCAGGAAGCCAGGAAGCCAGGAAGCCAGGAAGCCAGGACAAGAAACCAGGGGTACACAAAAATCTTGTATGACCAGGCGCCAGGAAACCACAAATCCAGAGAACTAGAACACCCACAAGTATCATCTCCTCTCGCACTCCTGCGGCGAGCAAGCAAAAAGCCCCCTCCATGGAAACCCCATGGGGCCCCAGGCTGGAAGGTCTCCTTGAACTCCGGGTTGTAGGGATCTTTGGTCACCGTGCGCTTCGAAGCCCCCCTCCCGGCGCCGGACCGCCGCCCATGGCGATTGCCCCAGGTCCTGGGAGAGTTGTTTCCCGTGGTGGATTCCTTTTAGAGCCACCAGGGGAAAATATATAGACCATTCTTATGCGAACGGATTTTTTTTGGTGGATCCCCTAAAGGTTGCAAGAAGGGAACCGAAGAACGCTTGTTCATAGCTCCGGAAGGCCAGAGATGCCCAGAAGTCCAACCAAGGTCACCCTGAAGGCCTTCAGGCGCAAAGAAGTAAAGAACCAGGTGCGATCAAAAATGGTCTGGCACATGTGGACAACACAAGAAGCCTTTGGGCCTGTAAACTACCCTCACTAGTTCACTATGGTCAAAGTCACCCCCCAAGCGGTGGGTTGAAGCGAAACAAACCCCATGTCTGACTTTGACAACTCCCAGAAACCGTAAAAAATGATGACCCCTGCTGTACCTCCTGAGGAAACGCTTCTCACGATGGCGCCACAAAAACCTGCAAAAGACAGAGCGGGGGTGGCCCTCAAGCCTCCACTTTCGCTCAGCGATCTGTTGACCCCGATCGACAGGGCTGTTGCCCCCTCTGCAAAAAGCTCTTAACTTTTTTTCTTTATATATGTATGTATGTATATATGGAAAACCCCTTGATTTCGAAAAAATTGCTAGTCCAAAGACCCAACAAAGCAGCAACCCAGAAAAGATCTTCTACCCTGGTGCTTTGATCAGCTCGGAACAACCCTGTTCAAGTCTCCCCAACAGACAATTCCTCTGGGAATGGATGGGGGCATTCCTGGTGAAATCCGGTTCGAACTTCGTGGGCCTAGCAACCAGGGTCCCATGTCCTTTCTACACCCCGAACGAAAACTCGAGTTGCGCATCTGATGCGTAAAAAGCCCCACACAAGAACAGCAAGAACAGTCCCTTCCCCGCCTTCCCCCCCACTCCCCCCCGCCCCCACAACACTCTGCCCCCGCCACCCCCCCCCCCCTCCCCGCACAAAAAAGCAAAGACAAAAATGCCACCTCCCCCCCCCCCAAACTTCCCCACCACTCTCCCCACCAATCGTCCGCCTCGCAGCCACCAACAGGCCGGCCGGCGCCAGCGCCACGAGGCGCCCGCGCCCGCTCTTCGGAACTTCATGGCGGAGGCCTGCGCTTCTTTTCCCAAAATGGCGAGTCGCGCGTCGCGAGCGCCGGGGATTTCAAGTTGACACCATGAACCTGGCGTCCTCAAAGGCCAGGTTCTTGGCTGTGGTGGTCAAAACCCTGTTGGTGAACATCAAAATAGGTGGTACATTGGTGTTCATCCGCCCCAAAATGGAGCCATAGGTTATGACCCATGGCCGTATGAATCAATTTTGACTAGGGACGCGCAACGGTGGACATCAGAGATCATTTAGGAGGAAATGTATGTCCACCAATCACTGTTCAGGGCTGGTTCAGGGGGTTCCCCATTAAAATGCGTAGCCAAATGAGTTGTGGGGAGCGAGTGTGCGAGGTTCCAATCGCATTGGCATAGAACTAAGGGAGAGCAAGAGGATTCCAAAACTCCAAACTTCCCAGGCGCTGGACGAACCTTTCCCATGGCCAAAACTCCTTGGGACTGGTGCACTGGCTGCGCGCACCAGCGTAGATCGGCGAACGTCAAGACGACGCAAAGGCGGAGTTGTCGGGAGTTGTCGGGCTTTGCCCAGGACCAGGCAGTTTGATTAAAAATTTGCTCGGCGCACTCCCAATGATAGTTTCGCCCTGCCTGTATTTATGTTGCTTCCCCGCCGCTTGAATGGGTCCGCTAAAACCCCGCTATGGAAAATGCAACAAACAAGAGGCCCGGGATGTTCAGCGCTGTGCAGCGTGTAAGGACCAGCTCTCATAAACCCGTGCGTTGATGTTTGAGCTGACAGGTTTAGAGATCAAAAGCCGCTTCAAGAAAAATGACATGTGGGGTGTGTGTGTGTGCTTTTTGAGCCCCAAATGTGCGGTTCTCCCCTTGCTGTCCTTTGAACACCACCCTAAGGGAAGCCTGACAAGAACGACAAGCCCAGATTTCTGGACCCGTGTGACTTTCGCACTTGAGAGCCGACCAATTGGTCCACGCAAACACACAGCGACCGGTCGGACGGTGTAGGTCCTGAAGGAAGCCCTCGAATGTGACTTCACAATCCTTTGTATTTTAGCAAACAACTTTGTTGTTTGCAGCCCCACAAAAATTGAACGGAAACAAACTAAAAACAAAAACAACTTGCCAAGAACGGAGAGGGTGACAAACCCCAGCAATGGGTGCAATTCAAGGATGGTTTCAGCTGCGTTTGGCGGTTCCGTCGTTTGGGCGGCGTATAGTTCAACCTCTTGAACTCACTTCCTGAGTGCGTTGGTCAGAGAAAGTCCAACTGTTTGTTTACCAGTAAAATGGTCTTCCTCAAAAGAACGACTAAAGCGCAGGAACTCGATCGAGAGTCAGTGAACTTTTGTCGACCTTGGGCTTGTAAACCTTGTGGATCCACATTTCGTGTTCCCCAAAAAGTGAGCGAGAGAGAGAGAGGGAGAGAGAGAGAGAGAAGAAAAAAAAAAGAGGACTTTCATGAAACTGGCACGCCCCCTTTCCACCGCACCTCCATTGATTCTCCCCCATGCCTTCCGCCCTTCCGCCCCTTGACTCGGCACCCTTCTTCCAGAGGCCCCCCCTCCCGAAGCACCCGGACGAATTCGCCTACGCCGCCCACGTGCTTCGATGCAGGTGCGAGGGCACCCGCCGGCAACGCCTCGCGGATCGGCCAAGTTGGCTCTTTCCGAAAGCTGTAGATCTGACTCTCTTTAAGTCAGGGTTGCGGGTGATCGCTAGGGGTTTCTCCCCAACCACTTCTGTGATGCTTGTGGGAATCTCCCCCTGATACAGGGTTAGTCTTTAGGAATCATTTCCGACAGCCCTGCTTTCAGGCCTCCTATTGATTTGCCCCATTCTAAGGCATTTCGTGCCGTTTTTTGATTTATGTCCGGAAACCCAAGGCGGGGCGAAAAAAGGAATGGGTCCAGACGGCGCTGGGGAGTTTCTCTGAAGCTTGGCCTCTTGTACCTGAAAACATCTGAGCCGGAAACTCATTGAAGTGCTTGCGAACCTTGAGGCAAACCTCGTGGCAAAAAAGCACGCACAGGAAAACAAGAGGTCTATATTTTAGCAGTTAAGTGGGGATTTCAACCACGAATAAGCAAAGATGTAAAAAATGTTTCCCAACAACAACCATATTTGGTCCATTGGCCGGGAAGTGGGGCTTGGGAGACTCCCACTCCTTCCCAAGATCACCAATTGGCCCGGCCAACCTGTAGGCGTAGCAGCGAGGTTGGGCAAGAAAACTCGTGGGCTAACTCCGGAAACCCACCACCTAAACCAACCGAAGCTGAAAACCTAAGTTGAGCCATCTAACAGCAACTTAGCACCTGAGCAAAGCAACTAGGAACCGCTAAAAGCCGCAGTAAACCAACGAAAATTAACCAAAGACCTAAGTTGAAACGAATGGCTGGTTGAACCACCTTCAGAAGAAAATTGGCACGCCAGGGAGTCACCTCCATTGAAACATTCCCTTTCTCCGCCTTGTTCCCGCTGCGTGCTTCATGCAAACCTCACCTGCCCAAAACGATCTAGGACCTAGGAAATGGAAGAAGGAAGAAAAAGCTTTGGGGTCTAGAAATGGTCAAATTCGAAAAATTCAAGAAGCTCAAGATCTGAAACTGGATCTGGAAAGGTGGAAAGGTTGCTCGAATAGGACCCCCCCCCCCGGTCTCTTGCGAATCTTTGGCTGAGGCTTCCGGCGAAGCTTTGCATGGCCATCAGCACGATCTGTGCACCGGAAACGCTTCCCACTGCAACCGGGGAGCAACCAGTTGCTGTTGGGTAGCTCCACTCGAGACATCAACTTCTCGAATTGAAACCTGACAATCACCTTTTCAGCCGATGTAAGCAAACAAAGAAGCTTTCTTCTCCAATCCGCTTTGCATTCCACGCAACTCGGCTCTCCTCTGAACCTCTCAGAGTATCACTGGACCCCTGTTGGGTAAAGCAACCTGTCCCCGAGATTGACCCATTTCCGCATAGGTCGCTCCGGTGTTGGGGGGGGTGAACATCTGGAAAGTTGTTCAACAAGGGAAGGGTCCTGATTTTGGCCCGGCCTTTGTTCCCCTCACGCGGGTCACGAAGCGGACAAACCAAAAAACAACTTGAACCGTCACAAAGGGTCCGCAGCCCAAGTGTGGCTTGGCCGAATCACAAGATCCTTGCAAGGACTGAGACTGTGGAGAAGCCATGGCGTTTGTGTCCGTGACGGAGACTGCAAAAGAGCAGTCCTTCTTCACGACAGAAATAGCGACACCTCTTGAAGGCATGCTTGTACGCTTGCATATTTGCAACCTCCACTCCCTTGTAGACAGGGAGATGCGAAGCACGTTTACTTGCGTCCTTTCCTGCCTGTGCTGGTGGTGTAGGCAAAACGTCTCCGGGCCTATTTTGGAGTAGCTGGCAAAAGCCCTAGAGCTTCTTGCAAGGTCAGTGGAAATAGCGAAGGATAGTCTAGGTCCTCCAGTAAAGAGGTTAGAACAAGGGTACCCGATTTCTTTTCTGTTGTGAATTTTAGTAGGGGAACCCTCCCAACCAAAAAAGGGGCTGAGAAAGGGCACCTAGCCCGGCGTGGCGACGGAGTCCCAAGGCATGCTGTGTATCGCGAAGAAGTGCGAAATTCGCAGGCAGGAATTGTCATCAACCCGCGAATTCAAGAACATGCTGACAGTATGCTGACAAGCAAACAATTTCGTTTGGATTGAAACACACAAACATGCTGATATTGACCAGAAACAAGGAGTCAACAGATCATGTTTCTGTGAGGAAGTCACCGGAACCTTTCCTTTCGTCCAAGGAAATCTTTACCGAACCTGTGGATTCGATGCTCTCAATGTGATGGAGAAAGAAACAATGCTTGCGATACCAACGCCCGCGGGATTTCCATCCATGACTCGGGGAATTCCCCTTTTGCATTCCGGATGTTGCGTTGGCAACTTCACACCAAACAATGTCCATGCGGCAAACGAAATCCTTCGCAAGCAAAATCCAACCGGACCAAACTCTGTCGACTTCTTGCCGCACGGCCGAATGTGTTTTTTTCCCACCGCTCCTCGGCGCTAAGCGGACCAGTGCCGAAGGACGCAGGCAGTCAGCTAGGCAGGGTCGTTGTTGTTTTCCCTCTCCCTTCATGGGCACCAAGGTTCTTCCAAAAATGGGAAAACCCAAGGACCGGTTGATCAAATCTATTGTGCGCTTTACAGGTGCATTGGACTCTCCGGCGCGGGGCTTTACTCCGCGCCCGACATGCAAGAAGGAACAGCAAGTGCCCCTGGCCCCCCAAAACCTGAGACGAACCGGCAAACCTGCAGCTGGGTTTCTGGTGAGAATCCTCTGGAAACAAAGTTACGAACTTCTTCTGGGTTCATGTAACTTGTGTTCTTGCCATTGTAAGTAAGTAAAAGCTTTGTAACCCTTGAATAATTCTGCTTTTTGCTCCAAACTTCAATGGACAACCTTGATTCCAACCAAAAAGTTTCAGTCACCGTCTCACTTCCAACCCAATAGCCGTCAAGTTGCCCCCCCCCCAACCCAGTGGAAGTGCACAGAAGGCGACATGAGGTCTGATCCCGATCTGGACATAAGCCAGAACGGAAAAGCTTCGTAAGTCACGAGTGGATCTGCACCAACTACGAAATAAAGTATCGTCAACTTGAATTCAGACATCCCTGGAAGAAACCTGTACCATCGGTGAGGTTGTTTTACCAGGTGAGCTCGCCAAAAAGACGTGCAGAAATATCCCATGTTTGCTGGGAGTCCCAACGTATGAATATGTGTGTATCAGGATATGTCTTTTCTTTGTGGGGAACACGTCCCCAAGGGGCACGTACTTCCCCTGAAAGTTAATTATTTTTCACACCTGACTCTGCAGGTCATCTGGTGACTCGGCGTCATCTTCCTCTAAATCCTGTGAATCCTGCGAATCTGTCTCACTCTTCAACTCCTGAGGCTTCTCGCGAATCTTCCCTTGCACCTGGCCGAGGGCTGATCGGTTTAAGGCGGGTCTCTTCTTTTTGTGGAAGGAAACCACGTTTTTTTTGGTCCCAATCTTTTCGAAAGAAGGAAAACCACTAAAGTGGTCTACCGTCCTGAAGTTTAAGTTCCCCACCTTCTTGATCAAAGATCGGGGTTGGCACAAGTGGTCATGCAGCCACATCAGGATGTAGAGCACGATAGGCACAGGAAACCTGGGCAAAAGCCAAACGTCCATGTGCGTGTTCGCCTGAAAAAGATAAACATATGGGTATGGGTCAAAATTAAATCACTAGGGGACCGCAAATTTTAGTCCTTGGTTCCATTTACTAGGGTTCCAAAATGGATACCCATTTTTGACCCACAGCCATATGTCCAGGTGGACGCAGAAAGGGTGAGCTGAGTCTGGCCATGAAACAAGAGCACGTTGTGAAGGGTCTTGTTCGTCAAGGCCCAAGCGCCCAGGGACGCGCCGCACACGGTGCCAGCCAAGACCATTCCACTCATAATCACCTTCTTCACGTCTTGCTCGGTCAGCTTCTTGAAGGGAAGGTTGCCTCAAGGGGGCAACCAAGGGGCCGCGAGGTTTGTTCTTCTTCTGGCAGCTCCCAGGGCCTGAATAACTTTCCTCAAGTCGAGTTATCCAGGATAGCCTACAGGAGATAACGCCTCTATAGAACCTAGGCTGCTCCAAAGATTCGATCGTTGGGGTACCAAATGGCCCCTGGCAGAGGAAAAAACCAACAGGAGAACGATGTTCTGCCCTTTTAACCATCTTTCAGAGGCCCTCAGCAACTTTGACAAGAGGGTCGCAAACTTCACCCGCCTAGAACCCCCGACATTGTCAACACGTGGCCAGTGACCATGGTCGTGTGCGTGCCCATCCGCCCAGTACTGCACGCCGCGGCGATCACCCCGAAGATGGGGGACACAAGGACCACGCTCCATCGCAGCACCGGGTCGTCGTAGATGGCGTCCTCGTCGGTCACCAAGTACCAAGTCTCGACACCCAACCTTGCTGGCCACGGATCATAAACGCTGGTGTGTGTGTGTGTGTCAAGCAAGGTAAGAATTAGTGGGTCCCCATACCTGATGGTCCCTCACTTGAGAGTGCCCATGGGCCATACACTGTTGCATACTTTCACCGAAGCCAAGCATCAACATTAGGGTGTGAGTGTGTGTGTGTGTGTGTGCCTGTGCGTGCGCGTGTGCGCGCACATACGCGTCCGCACGTGTGAGCGTTCTCCCGCGCGCATCGTCTCGCGTGCGCGTGCGCGTGCGCGTGCGCGTGCGCGTGCGCGTGCGCGTGCGCGTGCGCGTGCGCGTGCGCGTGCGCGTGCGCGTGCGCGTGCGCGTGCGCGTGGTGCGCGTGCGCGTGTGCGTGTGCGTGTGCGTGTGCGAGTGCGTGTGCGTGTGCGTGTGCGTGTGCGTGTGCGTGTGCGTGTGCGTGCGCGTGCGCGTGCGCGTGCGCGTGCGCGTGCGCGTGCGCGTGCGTGCGTGTGCGTGTGCGTGTGCGTGTGCGTGTGCGTGTGCGTGTGCGTGTGCGTGTGCGTGTGCGTGTGCGTGTGCGTGTGCGTGTGCGTGTGCGTGTGCGTGTGCGTGTGCGTGTGCGTGTGCGTGTGCG